GGAGGAGGAGGAGGAGGAGGAGGAGGAGGAGGAGAGGAGGACGTGGAGGAGGAGGAGGAGGAGAAGGAGGAGGAGGAGGAGCAGGGACAGCAGCAGGTGAGGATCTGGAGGATCACGTGAAGGCGCCAGGAAAGGGAAGGATGGAGGCGGCACCGGCGAGGAACGAATCGGGTCCAGAAGTTTGGCCCGCGCTGGGGCCAGAGCGCCGTTCTGAACGACGCCAGCAAAGCACCGATCTTGACATGTGCTGAAGTGTAGCCACCGCTGCAGCCATGTTTGACGGACCGAGGAAGATCTGACCGAGACGCCCACATCAACACGCAACCGCAACTCATGACAACCGCTTGACTCGTACCACGAGAGTTTGCCTCATCAGAGGCAGGCGCGCCCGCGGACTTGTGAATCGAGCGCGCGCCCGAGCGTGAAGCGAAGAGGCGAGTTTGCAGTGCGGTCCAGTCCACCGCCGTCCCCCAGAAAGGTCAGGTAACATCGACATGCCACTGGCACTCGGGTGGAGTGGCCCCTGTCTTGTCCAGGATCAGATCACGAGGGGCACGAGCCCAGATCGTATGATGGTACCTGACCCGAACAGAGCAATACGGCATGGAATTACTGCGACGTGCCAGGTGTGCAACCACATGGCCGCTGAACAAGCCACGTGCTCTGAGTGCGGGAAGCTCGGATATCCTCAGTGACTTGGTCTGGAACTGTTTCAGGACTCCCCCTTCTGCCAGGACTGCATCTTCGACATCATCCGAGAGAATTCGGACTACATTACGCAAGTACGACGTTCATATTGGCAGAAGACCCACGTCCACCAGCTGGCCTTTTTTGAGGGACCAGGCCACGGCAGCCATGGGGGCATCTGCAGCTGTAGGCACAGCTACTGGTGGAGCAGGAGTGCCAGTAGTAGGCAGCACGGTTACGTTGGCGAAGGGCATGGTTGCAGGAGCTATCCACGCCATTGCGGCCGATCAGGCCTCACCGACTGCGTCGGATTAAGGGGGATTGCAAAGGCGCTGTGCCGACTTTTGAATCAAGGGCCCTGGGTCTGGGGCGGGCTGATATTGGGCTCCGTTTGGCGCTTCGCTTTCTCCTGGGGATTTCGAGGCCTACAAGACCAATGCCCACAGCAGCACGACGGATATCCACAACGACCGCGCGACATTGTGGGAGAAGCGCGGCAGCGATGCCGCCGATGAGTTCGTTAACTTGAGTGTGTCCACACACTGAGTGGAAACGGAGAACTACAGTTTTTGTCGTGGCATCTTGCGAGCTAGTCCCAGAGCCTGCCCAGTGGTCGGGGGAAGTGCACACTCTGGTTGGGGACGGGCCGGTGGACAAGGACCACGATGATTTGTTCGAGGCTTACTTCGAGGTGCGTAGCGAGGCCGGGGAAACGCCGCCGTCGGCGCCGCTCGAGGAGCCACTGCTCTTTCTGCTGGATCCGCCGGCGGAGAGCTGGAAGGCACCTCGCGATGCTGGCCGCAGCTTCAACGTTCGCCCGCCGCTGTCGGCAGGGGTGGCGGTGCGGAGCGCCCACGGCGGCATCGGAGCTGTGTTTCTGCTGGGCCTGTGGGGACTTCACCTTCCTCCTCCTCCTCCTTCTCCTCCTCCTCCTCCTCCTCCTCCTCCTCCTCCTCCTCCTCCCTCCTCCCTCCTCCCTCCTCCCTCCTCCCTCCTCCCTCCTCCCTCCTCCCTCATCCTCCCTCCTCCCTCCTCCCTCCTCCCTCCTCCTCCTCCTCCTGACGCCAGCCCACGAGGGCTTTGTTGAAGCCCTGCCTCCGCGAGCACGCGGGTTCGGGGCTTGGCGAGCAGCGCCGTCGTCTCGGGCCCAGCGTTGCCCTTCACACGGACAGTGGCTGACGGACCTTGCCCCAGAGCGCCCTGCAGGGGTGCATCGTGATGTTCGTGCGCGAATGGCTTCGATGTTCGGTCCCAGCGTGGAGGCCCAGTGCGGCACGGTGTCGGGAGGCTTGGGTGCTCGTGGGGGTCCCTGCCTCAGCCAGGATTCCCGAGTAGCCACGCTGGGAGCTTTCGACTCTGCCGATTCGACTCGATCGGTTTGACTTCGGATTCCGATTTGGGCTCCGATTCCTTACTGGAGGCATCTTCGCCTGCCGATTTCCGCCGATTCGACTTCTTCCGACTCGGCTGCCGATTTCCGCCAATCCGATTCATTTCGACCGCCGAGTCGACTTATCGATTCGATTTCTCTGGTCCAAGCAATGGTAGAGCGCCTCTGCGCAAGACGCGCAAGAGGCCTCGACCGATTGTGGCGGTGCATCCGACACGGAGGCAGAGATGGGCCAGATATGGCCCGAATCTGGGTACATATTAGGAATCGGAGGAGGGGAAGGGGGAGGAGACGGGGAGTGTGGAAAGAAGGTGGACAAGTTGGATGACGGAGGAGGTAAGGAGGAAGGACGAGGAGGAGGAGGAGGAGGCGGAGGAGGCGGAGGAGGAGGAGGAGGAGGAGGAGGAGGAGGAGGAGGAGGAGCTGTTCGCTCGTCCGCCTCTGCAATCCCCTTCCCCACCCTCCCACCCCGCCCCGCCCATGTTCACCTTCGCCCCTGCGCCTGCCCCTGCTCTCGCTTCCTCCCCAGCTCCTCCACCTCGCACCGGTCGTCGTCCTCGCCGCCGTCCTCCTCTCGGCGGCGAGCGAGGGGGGGAAGTGAGAAAGAGAAGGCCCTCTCAGAAGGTGGCGGGGCTTCTCAGAAGCGCTCCAGCCTTCTGAGAGGTTTTCCGTGTCTCAGGGGAAGGGTCAGAAAACTCCTCAGGAGGCCGTGGGACGTCCGAGCCTTCTGAGAAGGCCCGCCCCTCCTCACTTCCCCCCTCGCTCGCCGTCGTCCTCCGACTCCTTCGGATGCAACTCCTGGGAGGTCAAATTCTGTCTTTGCCCTGGTCCGAAATCCGGTTTAATCCAGCTTAATCTGGTTTAACCCCGCTTAATCGGGTTTAATCCCGCTGAATCCCGCTCAATCCGGCTTAATCCGAGGCCCACTCCAGCATAAGAGCCGGGCTTTATCCTCGTTAATCTTTCCGACGAGAACCTCCCAGTAGTTGCCTCCTAAGACTCCGGTCCCCAGAACGCGCCGCAAGGTGGAGCATATTGGTGAAGGCCAGCGCGGCGGCGGGGACTGCGGGTGCGCAGGCGCTCGGCCGTCCCGTCGCCCGCCGGAGAGTCGGAACAGCGGCGACAGAATCGAGGAGACAGCACTGAACCAGGTCACCCGCCGAGGGGCGAAGCGAATCCTGCCTCCTCCTCCTCCTCCTCCTCATCCTCCTCCTCCTCCTCCTCCTCCTCCTCCTCCTCCTCCCCCTCCTTCTCCTCCACCGCCTCCTCCTCCTCCTCCTCCACCCCCTCCTCCTCGCCTTCTCCTCCTTATCCTCCTTCTCCTTGCGGTCTCGGTCGGAAGGTTTCCCTTCTGCTGGGGGGCGGCGCAAGAGCGCGAGGAAAGCAGTTCTTTGCGCTTCGTCCGACGCGAAGTTCGAAGCTTGGTTGCCTAGGTTCGCACTCTTTGGATGGCGGCGCCTAAGTCGAGGGAGCAGCTTGCGAATCGACTGATATTGAGGTCATGTTTCGTGACTCGGTTGGCCCTCAAGGGGCATCCTTCGGTAAGGGGCCCAGAATCTGTAAATGTGGTATTCCGGATGGGGTCCAGAGATCGGTTCCTGGTGGACCTTCTCCAATAGGAAAACAGTGCATCTGCTGTTGCGATGCGCGCGCGCGAAGCAGGAGAGTTGGTGCCAGTAAATCCTCTATGCAGTGCATCGCATATCTTGTGGTGCTATCTGTCTGCGTTCCAGTACACGTGCTGTTCTGCACAAGTTGCATCAGGACTGGACTGAATATGCCCTGACAGAGGGGAGGAGCGCGTGGTTTCACATACACAGTAGTAACATAAACAAAAAAAACATTGCGCCAACGAGCACGAGGGCAGACTCAGCAAACGGAGCGCGGGGAGAGTAAATGAAGGAAGGAAGGATGGGAGAGTCGAGGGAGAGGAGAGGGATTCCGTTATTGTCTGATGGCGCCTCGATCTGATTGGTAGGCCCGTGAGCCAGAGGGAAAAGCAGGAAGAGTGAGTAAGCGAGGTACGATTTAAGCCCTTAAATTATGGCTGGTGTGGGGGGGATCCGTTCGGCTGCCCCTGGGCCAGAGGAGGACGGTCAGAAATGGCCAGAGCCAGAGTGGCTGGCGGACCTACCTTTGCGCAGGACGCATCGCAGTCGAGCGTGCCAGCGGACGCGCGTCGGTGAATGCGCGACAGCGGACGCCCGTCTGCGCGAGCCAGGAGTGAGCGAAAGCACGTCAGTAGATGCGCGACCAAGCGCCAATGATACATTCAACCTCCTTCCGTTCTAATCCTCTCCCTCCTTCCCATCCTCCTCATTACCGTGGTCGTGATCATCCTCCTCATGCTGCTCCTCCTCCCCCTCTCTCTCCTCCTCCGCCTGCTCCTCCTCCTTCCTCCCTTCCCTCCAATGCGCCGCGAGGGGGAAACGGATGATTATGTTGCTGCTGCTGATGATGACGATGATGATGATGATGATGATGATGATGATGATGATGATGATGATGGTGGTGGTGGTGGTGATGATGATGACGGTGGTGGTGGTGATGATGATGATGCTACTGCTGCTGCTGCTGATGATGCTTATAATGGTGGAGATGCTGCTGATGATGATGATGATCATGACCCTGACGATGACGATGACGATGATGATGATGCTGATGATGCTGACGACGATGATGATAATGATGATGATGATGAGGAGGAGGAGGAGGAGGATGAGGATGAGGATGAGGATGAGGATGATGATGATGATGATGATGATGATGAGGATGATGATGATGATGATGATGATGATTATTATTTTAATGATTATGCTGCTGTTGATGCTGATGACGACGATGATGATGCTGATGATGATGGCGATGAGGATGATGAGGGCGAGGATGAGGATGATGATGATGAATCTGATGATGATGATAGAGACGACGGTCATGAAGAAGATGATGATGGCGATACTGATGATGATTCTGATGATGCTGATGATGGTGATGATGGTGGTGGTGATGACGATGATGTGGAGGAGGAGGAGGAGGAGGAGGAGGAGGAGGAGGAGGAGGAGGAGATGGATCATGAGGATGAGTATGAGGACCAGAGTAAATGCAGGATGCATCAACGATGCTGCAATACATTTTCCCACCCCACTACAAGGAGTGCCCGCTCGAAGGGCGAGCGCCCCATGAGTCTGCCGTTCAGACGAGAGCTCGGTTTGGCAAAGGAGTTGCCCTGCTTCTCTCCAGCGAGTTAGGGGGAGCACGACCAGGTCGGATCGTGAAGCTCAGCGAGGAATCATGCGAGGGCGTCTTTTGAAAAGCAGCCGCCCGCATCTGTGTACCCATCGGTCGTTGAAAGTAGGTATTTTTGGATTCCCAGATTCCAATCTACTTTGAGCGCCTTCCTACTTCAAGAGTCGAGTGGGTTTCCCTCTTCCCTCCTCTTCAGGAGGCGGGCGGAAACCCAATCTATTTCGAACGCCTTCCTACTTCATGTTTCTACCTACTTCTTCCGACCGATGGGTCACTGTTGAACACGTCAGCACTTCGGACCCCTGAAGCAGAGGATGTCTCTCATGCGAAAGGCCCATGTTGGAAAGGAGCAGCCCTCCATCCCCACAGCTGTCCCGTGTGTTTAAGCTTCTGGACGTTGGTTCCTCGGCTCATGCGGCAATGCCATTTCGAGAAAGGAGGCGTCAGCCATTTCTGAAAGCTGTTGCACGGAATTGAAACGCATGTGCGCAAAGGCATTGCATCCATGTTGAAAACGAACCGCCATACGACTCTGTAGCTGCTGAAAGGTTTTGATGTGAATGTGCGCGGCGCTAGGGCGATAGCTCCATTTTGAAGATGAACCGCCCTCCATCGGTGTAGCCGTTGTAAACTTTCCCTGGGATTATGCGCGGCTCTAAGGCGAGCGGAGCTGAGGTGAGAGCTGCATTTTGAAAAGGTATCGGCATCCATCCATGAAGCAGTTGCACAATATTGCAGTTTGAATCGCCCGATCCAGACAGTGACGAGAGCGAGAGCTCGAATTTGGAAAAGGACCCAGCCTCCATCCGTGTAGCTGCTGCACGCGTTTCAGACGAATCTGCGCGGCGCTCAGGCCAGAGACCCATATTGAAAAGGACCCGGCCTCCATCCGTTTTAGCTATCGAACATTGCCGGCTTCGGGATCGCATATTGGGAGATGGTCTCCGGGCGGACCGCCTGGCAGGGAGGAGGAGGAGGAGGCGGAGGACGAGGAGGAGGAGGAGGAGGAGGAGGAGGAGGAGGAGGAAGAGGAGGAGGAGGAGGAGGAGGAGGAGAGGGAGGAGGTGGCAGGAGGAAGAGGAGGAGGAGGAGGAGGAGGAGGAGGAGGGATGAGGTGGAGGAGGAGGAGGAGGAGGAGGAGGAGGAGGAGGAGGGAGGAGGAGAGGGAGTGAGGTGACGACGACGGCGACGGCGACCTCTGGCGTGGGGCGGGCGCTCGCGCGCGCAGGCGCCCCGCGGCAGCGACCACCACACCGAGGACAGGCCCTTCACTGGCCGACCGCAGGACGGCTGCTGTCTGTCTATTTGCCTTGCCCCTCGGCCTTCCCCGCCGTTCCGTCCTCTCTGCTCCGCCTGCCTGTCCTCTCGCTGTTTGGGTCTCTGCGTCGTCTCTCGTGCGGGTGGGCCTGGCCACCACTTTGCACTGCTCGGGATCCGGTCCCGATCGCCCTCTCTAGGCCTACATGGTGGAGTCCTCTACCCATCAGTTGGGACGCTGGCAGTTTTCATCATCAGGTGTTTACGCTGGAAAAAAAAAGAAGCGCCACCTCCCCAGCCTGGGGGGGAGCCTTCCTCCTCCTACCTGGACGTCCTGGAGCCCAAATGTTTACGCAACAAGGGTGTGCGCAGCGTGTCGTGGTACTGGGCATTCTGGCACATGTGCTATGTGTTGGACAGGGGGGGGGCCTCCCTGGCATGGCCTCAGCGAGCCTTCTCTCCCAGGCCTGTCTCACACGATGGTCATCCGAGGCCCCCAGACCTGTTGATTCTCCTTATTAAAAACAGAGCCCCCTCCCCGGCGTTATCGGTCCCCCTTTCGGGTATGTAAATCATATATGATTATAGCCACATGTCCATCCTAAATATCAATTCACAATGTCAAATGCCAACCGGTCTCCCCCCCCCCTGAGGGTCCCTTGTAAAAACCACTACGCGGTGACATTTGTTGCTCTAGCATAGCACTTTTTCACAAATCCCTTGCAAAAAATGGGACGCAGTGCACACGCGCGCGTCGTCGCGCGCGCATGCCAAAATCCTTCAAAAACTTTCAGTGCCAGAAGGATTTCGCAATCGAGTTTCCCAAAAACACACAAAAACACATGGTTTCGCAACATTGATTTGCTAAAAAAGCTTCCGCGCGAGCTCTTGCGAAATCTTAAGAAAACTATAGGTTTTTTTTCAAGATTTTCAGAAAATTCTACCAAACGGGCTTCGCGCGCGCATGTCGAAATCTGTCGAATGCCCTTGCGCGTGCGAGAATCCTCTGCAAAAAATGGGACGAAGTGCAGACACGCGCGTCGTCGCGCGCGTATGCCGAAATCCTTCAAAACCCATCGGTTTCGGAAGGATTTCAAAATCGTGTGTCCAAAAAACCTACAACAACCACAAGGTTTCGCAACACAGATGTGCTAAAACGCTTCCGCGCGAGCTCTTGCGAAATCTTAAGAAAACCACAGGTTTTTCAAGATCTTCACAACATGCTACCAAATGGGCTTCGCGCGCGCATGTCGAAATCTGTCGAACGCCCTTGCGCTTGTGCCGTCGCGAGATTCCTCTGCAAAAAACGGGACGAAGTGCAGACGCGCGCGTCGTCGCGAGCGTATGCCGAAACCTTCAGAACCCATCGGTTTCGGAAGGATTTCAAAATCGTGAGTCCAAAAAACCTACAGCAACACAAGGTTTCGCACCACGGGTTTTCAACAAAAGCGTGCGCGCGCGCCCTTGCGTCGTCGTCGTCGTCGTCGTCGTCGTCGTCGCCGTCCTCCCTCCTCCCGCGTCGTCGTCGTCGTCGTCGCCTACGTCGTCCTCTGTCTTTCCTCGTGTTCGTCGTCGTCCTCCTCTTTGGCGTCGTGGTCGTTTCCGTCGTCGTTGTCGCCGTGGTCGTCCTTCCTCCTCCTCCCTCGTCGTCGTCGTCGTCCGTCGTCGGCGTCTCCTCGTCGTCCCTCCTATTTCGTCGCCGTCGTCGTCGTCGTCGTCGTCGTTGTCGTCGTCGTCGTCGTCTTCCCTCCTCCCTCGTCGTTGCCGTCGTCGGCGTCGCCGTCCTTCCTCCTTCTTCGTCGTTCGCGTCTTCGCCGTCCTCCCTCCATCCTTGTCGTTGTCGTCGTTGTCGCCGTCGTCGTCCTTCCTTCTCCCTCTTCGTCTTCGTTGGCGACGTCGTCGTCGTCGTCTTCGTCGTCGTCGTCGTCGTCGGCGTCGACGTCGTTGTCGTCTTCGTCGTCGTCGACGTCGGCGTCGTCGTCGTCGTCGCCGCCGTCGTCGTCGTCGTCGTCGTCGTCGTCGTCGTCGTCGTCGGCGTCGTTGACGTCGTCGTCGTCGTCGTCGGTGTCGTCGTCATCGTCGTCGTCGGCGTCGTCAGCGTCGTCGTCGTTGTCATCGTCGTCGTCGTCGTCGTCGTCGTTGTCGGCGTCGTCGAAGGCGTTGGAGACGTCGTTGGTGTCGTCGTAGTCGTTGTCGTCGTCGTCGTCGTCGTTGTCGCTGTCGTCGTCGGCGTCGCTGTTGTTGCCAAGTGCCATTTGGTACTCACCGTCACGGTCTTAAGAGATTTTGCAAACCAAGTTGCGGGTGGGTGGGTGGGATGTTTGCGCGAGCAGTGGAGTGGACAACTCACTGCGAACAGAAATTAATTGCACCGCATAACTTGTACGATGCCGGAGAGAAGCCCAGTCATAATCGATTCAGGGCTATAGGGCTATGGGGCAATAGGGCTGTAGGGACATAGGGCTATAGGGCTATAGGGCTACAGGGCTATAGGGCCATTTGGCTATTTGGCTATTTGGCTATAGGGCTATAGGGCTATAGGGCTATAGGGCTATAGGGCTATAGGGCTATAGGGCTATAAGGCTATAGGGCTATAGGGCTATAGGGCCATGGGGCAATTTGGCTATAGGGCTATAGGGCTATGGGGTTATAGGGCTGTTTGGCTATAGGGCTATAGGGCTATAGGGATATGGAGCTACATGGCTGTAGCGTCATAGGCTTATAGGCCTATAGGGCTATGGTGCTATAGGGCTATTGGGCTATAGGCCTATAGAGCTATAGGGTTATAGGGCTACAGGGCTATATGGCTGTAAGGCTATAAAGCTATAAGGCTATAGGGGTAAGGGCTATAGGGCTACGGCTATGGTGCTCTGGGCTATAGGGCTATAGGGCTATAGGGCTATAGGACTATAGGACTATAGAGCTATAGGGTTGTAGGGCTATAAGACTGTACGGCTATAGGGCTACAGGGCTATTTGGCTATAGGGCTATAGGGCTATAGGGCTATTGGGCTATAGGGCTATAGAGCTATAGGGCTATAGGGCTATAAGGCTATATTGCTATAGGGCTATAGGACACCCGGGCACCCGGGACCACGGGCACGCGGGTACTGGGGCACTCGGGCACCCAGGCACCCGGGCACCCGGGCACCGGGGCATGCATCCTGGCACCCGGGCTCCCGGGCACCCGGGCACCGGGGCACTCGGGCACACGGGCACCCGGGCACCCAGGCACCCGGGCACCCGGGCGTGCCGCCGAAATCGGCGCCATACCTCACCTAACCATATGAATCCGCTAGAACCCCTACAGAGGCAGGCTCTGATTGGGGAACAATGTATGTCTTGAACACCTTAGCGTGCACCGCAACCGCGGCCACTGAGATTCCGCGAGACGAGGCGGACCACTGGAATGCCGCAGTAGGAACAGCACTGTTGGACGCCCCTCGTCACCCCATCCCTCCTCTTTCCCCCTCCTCTACCTCCCCCCTGCTCCTTACGCCTCCCCGCTCCTTCCCTGTAGCAAACCATGGGGACTGCCTCGCATGGCTGACACCACGTAGTCTGCAACACGTAGCGAGCACCGCAAAACCTGCGCTACATCTATCTTACACCGCATAGCGTGCACCACTGGAATCCGGCAAGACGAGGCGTGCCACCTGAATTCAGCAGTGGGGGCAGCGCTTGTGGGATGCCTGCAGCTACAGGTAAGCTTGACTCTGCAAGTGTAAAGTAAAGGCGTAGATGCGAGAAATGCCTAGCCGACCAAAGCTGTCACCGCCACTGTCTTACAACACGCAGCGCGCACGGCAGCTGCGGGTCACGGGACGTTGCACCGGCTTGCGTGCGCCACATCTGCGGGCCACTGGAATTCCATCAGCAGCGGACCACTGGAACACCGCCCCCCTTCCCCCCCCTCAGAAAAATGGGATGACGAGGGCTCCTCCTCCTCCTCTCCTTCTCCTCCTGCCCCTCCTCCTCCTCCTCCTCACCTTCCCTTCCTTCCTCGCCCTCCTTCCTCTCACCCTTCCCCGCCCTGCTGAGCCGACCTTAAAATCTGGCCTGGAATTCCGCACGAATTTCGCAAGAATTGTGACCACTGAAATTCCGCAAGAATAACTGTGACCACTAGAATTCCGCAAGAGCTGTATCCACTGGAATTCCGCAAGAGCCGTGGCCACAGGAATTCCGCAAGAGCTGTGGCCACAGGAATTCCGCAAGAACTGTGGCCATTGGAATGCCGCAATAATTGTGGCCACAGGAATTTCGCAAGAGCTGTGACCACTGGAATTCCGCAAGAGGAGGCGGAGCACTGGAATTCCGCAAGAATTGTGACCACTGGAACTCCGCAAGTGGAAGGAGAACGCTGGAAGTTCGCAAAGGCGCCGTGCATCCATTGGAATCCCGAAAGGAATATAAGGTGTGGGCTCTTCCTCCTCATCCTCCTCCTACCCCTTCTTTCCTCCTCCTCCCTCTTCGTCCTTCTCGACTTCGTCGTCGTCGTATTCCTCCTCCTCCTCCTCCTCCTCCTCCTCCTCCTCCTCCTATACCACCCTCTTCTTACAGTCGTACTCCCCTTCATCCTGCTTCTCCCGCTCCCCCCTCCCCCTCCCCACTCTACCACAGGGGCCCCTACAACCCTGCCCCTCCCCCTACTGCCACAGATCCCGGATCCTGAGGAATTCGCCAGAAGCCTAGGGATTTCTCAGCTGACATCCTGAGAGATTCCAATGTTTATCTCTTCGCATCCGCCTACTCTCATCCTGGAGACGACTAAAACCAATCTCATTCTAATGGGGTTAGGTTCCCGCCATAACATTATTAAATTTATGTACTGACTAGCCACACCAATGTCTATTCACATTGGGAGTTTTATCTTGCTTATGAATGTCATTCGTTTTATTTATTTGTTCTATCTAGTAAGCTTTATCAACTTCTGAACTTTAGCAGCCGCGGCCCCGCCTCTCCCACCCCCCCCCTCCTCCTCCTCGTCCTCCTCCTCCTCCTCCTCGTCCTCCCTCCTCCTCCCCACCTCCTCCTCCTCCTCCTCCTCCTCGCCCCCCTCTGGACGCTGCTAAAGTTGAGGAAGTGAATAAGCCGAATACAGTTACTGGAGTAAACACCATGATTGACTGTAGTGGTTTGATGAACTTGATTAGTTTCATCAGTTTTACAAGTTTCATGATCAGTATTAACTGTAGCAGCCGCGGCTCCACCTCCCCCTCCTCCTTGTCCGCCTTCTCCTCCTCCTCCCACCGTGGAGGCTGCTGAGGTTCTAATAACGCTAATCAAGTTAATCAAGTTGAGAATGTGAACGAAGCTCGTATTCGCCAGCGTGGACCCCACACAATAGGTTCTTGCAGTCTATGCGGTGCAATAGATGTGATGCAATGTAATCGATGCAGCCTGTGTAATGCAATCGGTGCGGTGCGATCTACGCGGTGCAATTAATCTTGACCGTCTTGAAGCTGTCCTCTCCACTGCTCGTGCAAACATCCCACCCTTCCACCCGCAACTTGGTCGCAAGACCTCTTCAGACAAGACCGTGACGGTAGGTACCACATGGCACTTGGCCACGACGCCGATGCCGACGACGACAGCGACATCGACGACGACGGCGCCGCCGACAGCGACTGCGACGACACCGACGACGTCTCCAATGTTTTCGACGGCGACAACAACACGACGACACCGACGACGACGACAACGACGCCGACGACGACGACGAAGACGACGACGACGTCGCCAACGGAGACGACGACGAGGGAGGAGAAAAAACGACGACGGCGACAACGACGACAACGACGATGGAGGAGGGAAGACGGCGACGACGCCAACGACGAAGAAGGAGGAAGGACGGCGACGCCGACGACGACAACGACGAGGGAGGAGGGAAGACGACGACGATGACAACGACGACGAAGACGACGACGACGGCGACGAAATGAAAGGACGACGACGAGACGCCGACGACGGACGACGACGACGAGGGAGGAGGATAACGACGAGGGAGGAGTGAAGACCACGACGACGACGACGACGACGACGGCGACGAAATAGGAGGGACAACGACGAGACGCCGACGAAGACAACGAGGGAGGAAGGACGACCACGGCGACAACGACGACGGAAACGACGACGACGCCAAGACGACGACAACGACGACGAGGAAAGACAGAAGACGACGACGGCGACGACGACGACGACGACGAAGGGAGGAGGGAGGACGACGACGACGACGACGCAAGAGCGCGCGCGCACGCTTTTGTTGAAAATCCGTGTTGCGAAACCTTGGGTTCTTGTAGGTTTTTTGGACGCACGATTTTGAAATCCTTCTGAAACCGATGGTTTTTGAAGGATTTCGGCATACGCCCGCGACGACGCGCGCGTCTGCACTTCGTCATATTTTTTGCAGAGGATTCTCGCGACGGCACACGCGCAACGGCGTTCGACAGATCTCGACATGCGCGCGCGCGAAGCCCGTTTGGTAGCATTTTCTGAAAATATTGGAAAACCTATGGTTTTCTTAAGGTTTTGCAAGACCTCACGCGGAAGTTTTTTTAGCAAATCAGTGTTGCGAAACCATGTGTTTTTGTTTGTTTTTCGGAAACTCGATTGCGAAATCCTTCCGGCACCGAAGGTTTTTGAAGGATTACGGCATGCGCGCGCGACAACGCGCGCGTGTGCATTTCGTCCCATTTGTTGCAAGGGATTCGCGAAAAAGTGTTATGTTAGAACAAAAAATGTCACCGCATAGTGTTTTTAACAAGGGAACCGCACGGGGGGGGATACCGGCTTGGCTGGGATAGTATGACTTCATATTTAGGATGGACATGTGGTCAGAATCGTATGTAATTTACTGCACGCGCGGGGTAACCGATAAGTCCAGGGGGGGGGGGGGGTAGAATCTATTAGTCCTTCAGAAAGGAGAATCCACCAGTGCTCAATTTGAAGTTGTCCGCTCCACTGCTCGCGCAAACATCTCATCGACCCACCCGCAACTTGGTTTGCAAACTCCATGCGGGCGCGATTGCGATGAGTGCTTGGTGTTGGCTGGCGCATCCCTCCGGCCGCGCTAGCCCGCGCATGCTCGCGCGCGCAGCGGCCAGCTAGTTTGGCGCGACCTTCGCGAACGCGGTGGCGCTGACCGCTGGGCGCATCCCAGCGGGCACTTCAGTGCGAGTCGGCGACTTGGGAGTGCGCGGTATCATGGCAATGTCGGCAACGGTAAACACGACGATGATACTAGAGATGGTGGCGACGATGCTGACAGCCACGACGGGGCAGACAGTGACGGCGCCGATGCTGATCACGCCGACGACGATGACGGCGTCTTCGCGTCGGTGATGAAGGTTTTGAAAAGAGTTCATAATGCGCGCGCGGCAGACGCGCGACAGTGGCCCGCATGGTATTATTTGAGACGGGTCGTGCCACCCCAGCACGCGCGCAAGGGCTCTCGACCGATTTCGACATTCGCGCGCGCGAAGCCCGTTTGGCAGAATCCCGGGATCATGTTGAAACGCCGATGGTGTTCTCAAGTATTCACGAGAGCGGGCGCGCAGCCTTTTTGGAAGACTGATGTTGCGAAACCTTTTGTTTATTTATATATATAGATGTTGGCCACGCGGTTTGGAAGCCCTTACGCAACCAATGGGCTTTGACGTATTTTGGCATGCGCGCGCGACGACTCGCGCGTGTGCACTTCGTTAGAGTTTTGTCGCAAGTGCTTTTTGTTTTCACAAGTGTACGGTGTTTTGATCGCCGAGGGCGCGCGCGTATTTATTCTTGCAGAGGATGGCGGGGGGAGGGGTCGATGCCGGTTGGGCTGGGGTGGTATGAAGTCATACTTCGGATGGGCGATGGGGCAGAATCGTATGTAAATTGCAACACGAAAAGGTATGCCGATAATACCGGGGGGGTGGAGTTTTTCTTTTCTTAGAAAGGGGAATGTATGTGGTGCGATTAACTACCCCGCGCCGCGCTTGACCACCTCCACTGCTCGCGCAAACATCCCACCCACCCACCCGCACTTTTGTTTGCAAAACCCATGCGGTGGCGATTGCGATGCATACTCGGCGTTGGCTGTTGCATCCCTGCGGCAGCGCCAACCCTAGCTCGCGCGCAGCGGCCAGCTAGTTTGGCGCGACCAACGCGGCCGCGGTGGCGCTGACCGCTGGGCGCATCCCAGCGGGCACTTCAGTGCGAGTCGGCGACTTGGGCGGGCGTGGTATCATGGCATCGCCGACAACGGTAGACGCGATGATGAGAGTAACGATGCTGGTGGCGAATTTGACAGCGACGACAAAGGCCAGCGACGGCGCGGATGCTGTTCTCGCCGACGACGATGACGGCGCCCTTGCGTCGGCGACGAAGGTGTTGGAAAGAGTTTGACATGCGCGCGCGGCCGACGCGCGAGTGGCCCGC